CCGGCGGCCACGGCCTGGAGAAGTGCAGCAACGAGCTGCTCGACGTGGGCCGCGAGAGTCCTCCGCCCACATCCTCCTCGCTGGCCCTCAAGCGCGCCTCAGCTGGAACGCCGCCTTCGGTCGACATGCGCAGCAACTCGATCGCCACGCTGCGCATCAAGGCCAAGGAGCATCTCGATAATCTCAACAAGGGCCTCGTCTCCATGGTCTGAATGGTGCAGCAATTCACACAAGTTGAACTCGATGCATTAGGCCTTAGTTCTTCTACACAAAATCCAATCACAGAGATTTATATATAAATAATCATAAATGTTTAGTTGCTTGAGAGTTTTAGTTTAGAGAATTTCATCGTTGTAAATCTAATTTCTATTAGAAGAGATCAGATCAAATCAGAGCAGAGCAGAGCAGATCATAGCGGAAGTCCCAGTGAGTAAACGATATTTGAAATCATCAAAACAAATCAAATAAAAATAGGATATTAATGTGCATATAGAGCTATTTGTAACATCTCTCTAATTCCTAAAAACTAAAACTAACTATAATAATGATAACTATAATAATACTGATAAATAATGAATAATGAATAATATGTATGTATAAAACAACATCCTAATCCCTCTTGCATATTAGCACAAAATACAAATAAATAAACAAGTTTTAGCTCACATCGAATCGGGATACGTTTTTTGGGGAGGGGGAAAAGGAAAATCAAACTGGAAATAGTTTTAAGATCTTACCTGTCTGAATATTGAAATCTCACAATATTCGGTTGACATACCTTACCTTTCATTTGGTAGCTTTGCATTTCTGGCCATGTGGTATTGGCCAAAATCAGCATTAAATCAGTAATCAGTAATCAGGGAAAAGGAACTCAACCTTTTCCCTAAACTCTAAAGCAAGAACGTCTTGTGTGAAGTGTGACAACTTAATAAGCCTCCCTCGCGCTTGCATTTTGAGCTGTCACTCTGTGAGAACGCGTATCAGCTGTGTTAATCAGCTGTCGAAAACTCATTAATGACTAAATTAATAATCAGAAAACGAAAAGGAAAAGGAAAACGAAAAGGCTGCGAAGCACTCGAAAGGAGCATAAACAAATTGAAAATGCTGACAAGCGGCAATTAAATGCAATTAAAAAGGACTAAATGCACGACAAACAAAAGGCGCATAATGACACATAATTGAACAAGGAACAAGGCAGAGAGCGAGGGAGAGAATGAGAGAGAGAGAGAGAGACAGCGCCTATGCCCAACTAGGAATGTTATAAAATAATGTATGAATTATAATTGATTAACGCCGCGCACAATTAAAATGCAAGCACGGCCCAAACAACTAGACAAATACCATATCTCACACATATATCTATACACATGTGTGTGAGTGTGTGCGAGTGTGTGCGAGTGTGTGTTTGCCTGCTTTAACAATGGCAAACAGGAGCTGCAGGATAATTGCCAGCAATTACACTCTGTGTGCTTATCACACGCACAATATCTTTGGAGAGACCAGCGGGGCATAGCTGACTGCTTGATACGCGCTCATGGCATATAATGGGGAATTTAGCTCCTTTCCCCATCTGCCACGCCCACAATAAAATGCTAACCAGCTGCATAGCTTGACTGCTCGTAAAGCTGTGTGGGTTATAGAGATTCAGTTTCTATTTTCTATACAGAGAGATCAAAGGTTAAAGAAGCGAGTGTAAAACCAATATGCCCCGTTTCTCACTTGCTAAGCGGGTATACAAATCTCGCTACGAAATGCTTTAAATGCAAAACTATACCCTATATATATACGTATTTATTTTATAGCGCAGCCAACTATCAGGGGAAATAAACGAAATAGGGAATCGTGTCTAGAAACAGAATTTCATGTCCAGCAGGGGTTGCAGTTGGTTTACTTATTTCAAGGCAATTGCCAACGTTTCAAAGTAATTTATTTCATATTTGATTAGTGCACGGGCAGAGTGGAGAATATTAAATGGAAACAAATGCTGGTTTAAACTACTATATTTATTGTTAGTCTTATTAAATGGCAATTACTTAGCTCAGCACCTATATAAATAGCTCAGGCAAAGGCAAAGCTGCAAGTATATATATAAAATATAATATTGAACATATTCCACTCTTTGTTGAGCTCACTTCTATGAAATATAAAATAAAATAATAAAATATATTTACATTTAAATTTCAGCTAAAAATGTTCGTTTTGAAGCTAATGAGCAGTTTTTGTGTAGTAAGTGGCGCCATCTATGAGTCATAGCACACACCTGCTAAACTGCTTGCAAGAGCAAGCAGTGCATTAAGCTTCCAACAAATTACTAATAAACTTACTCGCTTATACTCTTTCTCTTACTGATGCATGCGCCTTTTTTTCAAGCCACGCCATTGGCTGAGCGCTGCTGCTGCCCATAAAACAGCGACCATATCAAAAGGCAACTGAGTCTAAGATCTCTGAGCATTTCTAGTCATAAATGCACCAGTAAAGCTCACTAATATGCACGCACCTTTTTTTGAGGCCACGCCATTGGCTAATCGTTTCTGCCGTATATAAAACATCGAAACTCTCTCACCGAATGGCCTTGAAATCGTTTAGAGTGTCATAGCAGTGCACTCAATTGCATGGCCTTGAAACTAATTTCTGTAAAAACATTCTCTCAAGGGATTTATGTCCAGCTTCTACGTTCTGCTGCTCGCCTGGTGTTTTTAGTTGTTTTACATTTAAATTTGACCTGAGAGGGCAAATATATACTGCTGGACATAGTGAAAATGTTATGATATATATGCAACTGAGTTTATGATGGCTTAGCATTTCTCTAACCAAATGCGCCAGTAATGCTCACTAATACGCGTGCAGCTTTTCTCAAGCCACGCCATTGGCTCAGCACTGCTGCTGCCCATACAACATGAATGACTTTGAAATCGTTTAGAGTCTCATTGCAGTGCGCTCAATCGGTTGACCTTGAAACTAATTTCTGTAAGAACTCCCACTCAAAGAATCTATGTCGAGCTGCTACACTACGCTGCTCGCCTGGTACTTTTCGGGGTTTTACGTTACAATTGGACCTGATACGGCAAATAATATATATGTATGCTGCTGATAATGTTATGATATACTGAGTTTATGATCTCTAAGACTCATTCGCCTTTTTTCCGGCCACGCCATTGGCTAATCGCCCCTGCCATACATAATACAGCGAAACTCTCTTACCGAATTACCTTGAAATCGTTTAGAGTGTCATGGCAATGCACTCGATTGGTTGACCTTGAAACTAATTTTTGTAAAAACTCCCACTCAAAGAATTTATGTCGAGCTGCTGCACTACGCTGTTCGCCTGGTACTTTTCGGGGTTTTACGTTACAATTGGACCGGATACGGCAAATATATATATATATGTATGTTGCTGAAAATATTATGATATACTGAGTGTATGATCTCTAAGCCTTTCTTGTCGCGAATGCGCAGGCAATGCTCACTAATATGCACGCACCTTTTTCTCAGGCCACGCCATTGGCTCAGCACTGCTGCTGCCCATAAAAAAAGAAACTCTCACTGAATGACCATGAAATCGTTTAGAGTCTCATTGCAGTGCGCTCAATTGGTTGACCTTGAAACTAATTTCTGTAAAAACTTCCACTCAAAGAATTTATGTCGAGCTGCTACACTAAGCTGCTCGCCTGGTACTTTTCGGGGTTTTACGTTACAATTGGACCTGATATGGCAAATATATATAAATATATATATATATAATGTTATGATATACTGAGTTTATGATCTCTAAGCCTCATGCGCCTTTTTTCCGGCCACGCCATTGGCTAATCGCCCCTGCCATACATAATACAGCGAAACTCTCTTACATTGAAATCGTTTAGAGTATCATGGCAATGCACTCGATTGGTTGACCTTGAAACTAATTTTTGTAAAAACTCTCTCTTCAAGAATTTATGTCGAGCTGCTGCCCTACGCTGCTCGCCTGGTATTTTTAGGTGTTTTACGTTTAAACTGGACTTGATATGGTAAACTAAGCTGCCGAAAATGTTATGATATGCAACTGAGTTTATGATCTCTTCGCATTTCTCTACTCAATGCGCGAATAATGCTCACTAATATGCACGCACCTTTTTCTCAGGCCACGCCATTGGCTCAGCACTGCTGCTGCCCATACTACATGAAACTCTCACTGAATGACCTTGAAATCGCCTAGACTCTTATTGCAGTGCGTTCAATTGGTTGACCTTGAAACTAACATTTTCAAAGAATTTCTGTCGAGCTGCTGCTCTCCTCTGCTCGCCTGGTATTTTTAGGGATTTTACATTACAATTAGACTTGCAGGGCACATAATTGCTGCAGATCAAAAGTGCATGTCATCAAAATGCCATGTAGAGATTTTTTGACAATTTTCTGTATCCTTCTGCGAGCTTCTGTTCGCCTGGTAAACGAGTGGAAATTTGCTATAAATAAATAATACAATAGGCCAGCGCATATTGGCGAGCCCCAAAAGTATGCTACACTAATATTCGCTAAGCGAATAAATTTGATGCCTAAAGATATGCAATGAATAATTTTACACTGAAAAAATAATTTTTCGACTTTCTGCAAACTTCTGTTCGCCTGGTACTTGAGTGGAGTTCAGGTACATATTCAATGTTTTGACAACAAAAGCTGCTGCCACCGAAGGTATGCAATTCATAATTGTACACTGAGCAAAATTATATTTGTTTGTCTACCAACTGTTTGATTTTGTATATTTATTTTAAGCGCTGAATCTGTACAATGCAGTACCAACTGTGACTTGCTGTTTTGCCTGGGGAAATTTGCTAATAGTGCAATAAATAGGCCAGCGAAAATCAGTTGCATCCAAAAGTATGCCACATTTATTTTTGTGAGCACATTTAATGATATGCCTGAAAGTATGCAAAGAAAAATACAAACTACAAAATAAAAAAAAAATAAAAAAACATTTCTTTTAATTTATTTCATTTTTCTTTATTTAACGTATTTTGGGGAAATATAAGTACAATATGTATTTACAAGCTAGTTTTTAATACATTAAAGACGTAAAGCTAATTTTCAACGTATGGAAATACTTTTTCAATTGATTTTTGACAGATTCTTAGATAAGTCGAGCGTAGTTGACTACCAAGACAAGTTACTAGGCTTACAGATAGGCTATACATACTACTATATAACTAAACAGGAGACTATATGTAAATATATATATCTATATATCTATGGAGTGGACTATACAGGTAGCATTCAAGTTAGGTATACTTCGTGGTTCCTTGGAATACTCGTAGTCATCACGTTGTTCTATTCGTTGTGCTCTGGCAATATCAGCTAAAATATCATCATTGATGGCATGATAAATCTGGAATGGTAAAGAAAAAACATAAAAATTATAAACAATTGATAAATGTATATTGATAAATGTAATGTAATATATTTATATTAGTTTACCTGCACATTTTTGCCGCAAAGTTCCATTGGGTTTATTCATAGTTATAGCTAACGCAGCTTTCCAGGCAAAACCCTAAATGAATTAAAATTGATTATAAAGTCTTTATATTTCATACTTACAGTTTTACATCAGGGATGAGAAGAATTTGTAGTTCGCATTGCATAGGTTTCTTCGCCTCCAATTCCTTGCTATTCTGCTTTATGATACTGTATATCATTTCCGATAAGCCTTCTTCATTTTCTGGGGGAAATAAAATTGAATAGAAAAAAATTACGCATGTCTTTGACATAAACTAATCATAGCTCGAATATTTTTGTTCCGATTTTCAAATGGAACAACTTTTCGGGCTATCAATAAGCAAAAGAATTAATCTATTATGATACACATTATATTATTGATTAAAGGGTAATTATGTCTCCGTTGATATTTCTTTGGGTTTCGAATCCTATCATGTCTTAATTATATAAGATTATACATATAGTAGCTGAATGAAAAATATATGCTTATATACCCTTCGATAGCAAGCAGTTGAGGCAAGCAGTTAACAGACGAGAAACAGTCTAAAAAAGCTTTAGCATAAAAGCTTTGCGAGAGAAGCGTCACCTGTTTGAAAGCTTTGCCACATGCATTAATAAACTGAATTCAATATCGAAAATGTTTGCTGGCAGCTGTCAAACTGTAAATGAGCCATGCGAAGGGCGCAGAAGAAGAAGAAGAAGGAGAAGTGCATGCGGAATGCGGAATCTCGAATGCGGACTGCGGACTGCGGACCGCTGCACTTCAGAACTAATGTGCGCTTATTATTAGCCCGCCCGCTGATTGAGCGATGGGAAGGAAGATGGGAAAGCCAAACGTGAATCATGCGCTTAAGAATACCAGAGATGAGCGAGTGCCGCAGCCCATATAAGGAGAAAATGCAGCAGAGGCTGCTACAAAAATAAAAAACTGTGGGTGATGCCTGCCAGCTGGGTAAGGCATTCGTGGCAATGCAAGCCAAGTGCATAGCCGAGTCAAAGTCCAATTGAATTGAACTTGAAAACTTGTGACGCGAATTAAAATGCCTTAAAATTTATTTGTGCAACTGCGCATGGGATCGGGGCGAGCATTGGGCTAGCACAGCTACTACAGACAGCGACAAGTGTTCCACAAAAAAAACGAGAAACGAGACAAGAAAAAAATAGAAGAAGAAGAGGAAGAGCAACTCTTGACTCTGCGGGGCTATATATAGAAATTGTCAAAAAACCACCGAGTCCGAGTCCGAGTGGATGGCCCCAACGGAAGCCCCAAGGCGAGAAGCAGCTGCTGCGGCTGCGGCTGCGGCTGCTGCTGGCATAGAGAACTTCCGATTCGACTAGCCAAAATGCCCATTTATTCACTTACACATTACATACATACCCTGTACATACCTATATATCTATCTGTCCATCTATCTATATATCTAGCTGCTGCTCTTTCGATTCATTCTCTAGATATATCGCATATTGATGACATACAGCTGATCTAGCCCGTTTGGTCGATGATGAAAGCGTGTGCGCTATTTTTCATTATATATACACATATTTCTATATCTCCTTCCAATATATCACCCTCTCTCTTGCTCTCTCTCTCTCTCTCTCTCTCTCTCTCTATGCGCTTGCTGTTTGTGTATATAAAATAACAATGTTAAAAATAAAATCTTCAACACGAAATGAAACCAGCGCCAAAGCAGCAGCAACAACAACAACAACAAAATATAGAAACAAATTATTGAACAGCATTTCGTATATGTATTTAGCTAACTCGGAAAAAATCTGTTTTAGCGCGCACCATAAATGTCCGCGTCATTTATTTCCATTGCCTGTGGCATGGGGCAAGAGCGAGTGCTCAGAGTAAAGCGATTTGGGTGAACCAAAGCAGACAATCCGAAAAACTAAAATTGAAATTTAAGTATTTGATATAGTTCCTCATCAAATCTAAGGCATAATATATAAATTATATTTTAGTGAATCGAATGAAAATCAGGGTGTAATGAAACTAGATATATCTGAAAAGAATTCCATTGTATTTTAATATATTTTTTAAATTGATATTGTTATATATTTACATATATTTTCATTTGTTTATGTTTGCTTTTTTTTGTATTTAAATAAATTTATGTTTTTTTTAAAGAAAATTTAGAGTATTCTTTAATATAATAATAATAAAAAACTAAATATTTATTGTTGCCTGTATTTTTCATTTAATTTATTCCATCATCAGCTAACTTTGATAGCGACAACAGGTTAATTCTTACTTTGCTATGATTGCAGCAGAGTGAAAGATCGAATGGAATGTTTGTTTAGCCAATAGCAAACATTCAACAATCAACTAATGCAACCCAAAGTCTACAAACTAGGCGTTCTTAAAATATACTCAAGCACCAACATTATATATATCTTTTCTAGTACAAATCAGGTCCACTCTAATCGACTGTATCTATAGAAGTGTGCATAATTGTATCTCTATACAGTTTGCCATCAAATTATTTCAAAGTTTTTTTGTCAGTATTTCTTCTCTCTCACTCTTTCTCTCTGCCTTTCATTTTCTTTATATATTTTTTTTTGTATGTTCTTTCATTTTGTTTATATATATATTTTGTATGTTCTCTATTTCGTATTCTGTTTTCTGTTCTTGAATATTTTTTCTTCATGCTGGAGGCGTACAGATATTATACATATACATATATATATAGAATTGTTATAGAATGCGAATTGTAGCGCATATCTGAATGTATTTCGGGCGCATTTTTCTCTATACAGGTTATAGATTATGTAGATATCGAGTCTGCAAATACATGCGAACTACATATATGCATAGGCTATACTTATAGATCAGAATTCTATATGTATATGTATATGTATGTGGACACTTGTCTGCTTTCAAAAGTTATTGCAAGCAGCACGTGAATCCAAATATGACTCAAAAATTTGTCTCGCAAATGGAAAATGTTTGATTCGAAATGAAATGCGATATATGCATAGAGAAATCATTGCAAGGAACTTAGAGATATGGAATCTACATGTATAATGCTACATAAACATATAATTTTGTACATACAATTAAAAGTATTTGTATGCTCTGAGCCCACTCAAGGTATGCTGGTTTTTTGTAAGTCTATGTAACAGCCAGAAGGAGGCGTAGAGGACTCTATAAGGTATATGTATTCTTGATCAAGGCAACAAGTTGAGTCGATTCAGGGAAATCCATGTTGTTCGCTTGTTCGTATGAACTCAACGATCTCACGTTCCACATGAGCTGAGAACTTGAAACTATTTCGATATACCATATGGATATACAGATAGGAAATAATTATCACTTTGTAGCTTATTCCATTTCCTTAATATTCCTCTAATGAATACAGAGACTTAAGATTTTAAATATGTCTCTCAAGCTCAATTTTGTAAAATATCCCGAAGAGCCTTTCGCTGTTATTATAATTCTCTTTTTGATTAGCCAATCAAACTCAACTCATTAACAATTAATTTTCCTTAATTTCCCTTAACACAACCCCTGGCATAGAGTAGAAAGGAAGAAGCATACAGTTCAGTCTAGCAACACAGCTCAAAGGTAAGGGTATCTACAAGTCGAGCACACACAACTATGCCACTCTTACGTTTTTAATTTCCAGTTCAAGTTTTCTTGCCTTAAGTTTCTATATATAGATTTAGCTCCATGCAGGCAGTGCATGCACTCAATTTCCCGATTCGATAGAGTTTTCACCCTCTCACCCTCCCACTCACTCTCTCTCTCCCTGCCTCTTTCTGTTCCCTCACACATTAACACAAATGCACGTTAGCAGCATATTCTAATTCGGAATCGGAATCTGACCTGATTTTTCCACAAACTGAAATTAGCTGCCGAAATTATGCAGCTGCAGCTGCTGTGCAGAGGCTGCTGCTGCAGCTGGTCAACAATTGGTGAATTAGCTCAATTAATGGCTATAATAGGGCATTGTGGTAAACCCCTTTGACGGCGCGAACTGGACAACACTTCAGCAAATCAATTTGCAATTGTTTGTTTCACACGCACAAACCGATTTCTCGGGCCGGGGGATGTCTAAATCCAATAATGCGTTGCGGCTCGTGGCCAAAAACTAATTTGAAATTAATTCGCACACACACACACACACACACACACAGATACTTGCCCACCCACACACACACACACACTCACACACTCGCACACTTTGATGAACTCTGTCAACAAGCTGAAAGTAGCTGCCAAATTGGCAACTTAATAAAAATTCCGCAAAGTCGAAATCATTGCAGGCTTAAGGGTTCGAGGCAGCCTAACAACTTCATTGGCAACTTCATTACGACGATCATCATGATGATGATGTTGCGACTGTAGCCATGTAGCCACGCTTGTTGCCTTGGCTCTGGGCGTCGTCTGTGTGCATTCCGCTTGGCCTGTCAAATGCGCAGCGCAGCGTCTGTCCCCTTGCCCCTGCCCCTGCCCCTGCCTCTGCCTCTGCCCCCGCCCCTTCCCATCTAGCCTTCTGCCCACCCCCATGCCTGGTCTATGTGATGTGGTGGCCACTTTGTCACCGTTACAGGCTCAATTGCAATTTGTTTTCGTTGATTCCCATACCCAAGCGAGGCCAGGCCAGACAGACAGACGTAGCTCTCTCTCTCTCCCTCTCACTCGCTCTTTGTCTACCCCCGTATGATTGTTTACTTAGGAACGTAGAGCTCGCTCGCTCGCTCGACTCGCTTTTTGGGGACATTCAAACGGGCATTGGATAATTCACAAATGAATCCCTTTAGTGTTGGCAATTTGAGGCACGTGCACTAAAACAACAACAAGCTCGAGTTCGAGCTGGGCTCGGCTCAGTTCGGACTCATTATTAAAATTCGTTCTTCGACCCGGCGTGCACAATTCACTGGGTTTTATATTAAAATTTGATTTGGCCATTTATACAATCTATGTATTTGCAATTTGATTTTGATTTGGATTCGGATTTGTATTTGGCTTCATTCGTATTTTCATAACACAAACGACAACTGCCAAAGGGGCGCCTCGAGGCGTTTGCTGGTCTCTGCTGGGTTTGATGCGATTTGATTGCGATTATGGCGCGAGTTTTGATTGTTCATTTGGAAACATTTTATTTACTGTTGTCTTAAAAGGTAGCTGGCCAAGGGTGAGAGGGTGGCCTTATGGTAGCTGGAACGTAAAAAACCTGGGAAACTGACATTAGAAATACAATTATGACAATT